GGAAGATTTCAACAGAAGGTGGCCCAAGAGTCTGGAAGGCTCGAGATTTTGACAGTTGGTAGGCAAGTTAAGTCTGAATCAAGTTTAGACAGGTGGAGGACGAATTCCAACAGGTTTTGACCAATGTGTATGGACCCAACGGTAATAGGGAGAGAAATGAGTTATGGGAAGAGAATTGAGTGACATTAGAGGACTCTGGAAGGGACTGTGGTGCCTTGGGGGTGGTTTTAATGTTCTAAGATTTACCAAGGAGTCCAAGAATCCAAGACAGAGGATTAGTACCAGCATGAGAAAATTCAATGAATTCATTAATTCCCATGAACTCAAGGATTTACCTCTTCTTCATTATAATTTCACTTGGTCAAATCTCCAGCTCAACCCCAATTGCTCCAGACTGGACAGATTTCTTCTCTATGGATTGGGAGGAGCATTGGGGATATGTCATATTGAGGGCTTTACCTAGGATAACATCTGATCACTGGCCTATTACTCTTTATAAAGAGGAGATTCGGGGTGGAGGTCCCACCCCTTTTAGGTTTGAAAACATGTGGTTGAACCATGCAGGTTTGTCACCAAGGTGAAGCCGTGAAGGAATGGTGGGAGGAAAGTAGGCCAAGAGACGATTAGAAAGGAATGATGTTTCACAAGAAATTGCAAAAACTAAAAAATAAAATCAAAGTGTGGAATGTGGAACACTTCAGGAGGTTCGTAACAAAAAAAAACAAGAGTCGATGGATCAAATTGAAGAAGTGGATGCTAAGGAAGTTCAAGGGTTGCAGGATAAAAGGGATAGAGGATTAAGGTGGTTGTTGAAGAAGCAATTAGAGGACATTGTGCTTAAAGAGGAGATTAGCTGGAGGCAAAAATCGATGTCAAAATGGATCCAAGAGGGAGATAGAAATACTAAGTTCTTTCATGCAAAGGCTAATGGTAGAAGAAGGAAGAATTTCATATCTAAGTTGGAAATAGAAGGAGATGTTATCACTCAACAAAAGGAGATTTGTAGGGCATTTGGAGTACATTTTAGATCAATTTATAGAAAACCCTTAAATAAAAGAATTTGGGTTGAAGGTTTGGACTGGCCAAAGCTATCAGAAGAGTCAAAGCTGGTTGGAAAGGAGGTTTGAGTAAGGAGAAATCAATGAGGCTATCTTTAATATGGATAGGTCCAAAGCTCCAGGTCCAAATGGATTTATAATGGCCTTTTATCAAGATTGTTGGGATATTTTGTAGACTGATTTATTAGTTGTGTTCAATTAATTCTTTGATAGGGGTGTGATTAACCTAGGGTTGAATGCTACATTTCTTGCTCTAATTGCTAAAAGGAAGGAAGCGATTCACCCAAGAGATTTTAGACCTATAAGATGAACAACCTTTACAAAATATTAGCCAAGGGGCCTTTGTGCAAAATAGGCAAATTGTTGATCAGATTCTAATTGCAAATGAATGTGTTGAAGAAATGAAAAGGTCGGGAAAAAAAGGCGTGGTTTGTAAACTGAACCTAGAGAAAGCTTATGATATGGTGAACTGGATCTTTCTGATTGAAGTCTTAATTCATAGTGGGTTTGGAGAGAGGTGGTGTAATTGGATCTGGGGTTGTTTGCATACTTGTGGGTATTTGGTGCTAGTGAATGGTACTGTGGTGGATTTTTTTTCCTACAAGGCGTGGGATTAAGCAAGGGGTCCCACTCTCACCATTCTTATTTACACTTGTAGCGGATGCCCTTAGTAGACTTAGGTTAAGGGCAGACACAACTAGTGGGAGGATAGAGAATAGGGAGGGATAGGGTGCCACTCACACATAAATAGTTTAAAGATGATACAATCCTTTTCTGCAAAGGTGATAGCTTGGAATGGAAACCTCGAGTCAACAATGCAACTTTTTGAGAGAATGTCAAACTTGAAGATTAATTTTGGCAAGAGTTGTGTGGCAGGGATTTACATGGATGAGAGGGAAATGGAGGTTTGTGCCACTATATTGGGTTGCGATCTCATATTGGCCTATGAAGTATTTAGGTCTTCCCTTAGGAGCCACCCAAAGGATGCTACTTTCTAGAGTCTAGTTGTAGAAAGAATTTCGAAGAGGCTTGATTGTTGGAAAAAGGGTGTCGTTCTTTGGGAGGTAGAATCACCACAATCCGGTCAACCCTAGATAATTTGCCAATCTATTACTTTTCAGTCTTCAAGGCATCAATCAGTGTGTGCAGGAAGATCGAGAAGTTGATGAGAGATTTTTTGTGGGATCCGGGGTAAGGTAAAAGGGATCATATAGTTAGGTGGGAAGTGGTGAATAGGAGTAAGGAGGAAGGCGGACTAGGCTTATGGTGTTTGCAAAGAAAAAACCTAGCTTTGTTAGGGAAGTGGCTATGGAGACTACCACAAGAGAGAGATAAGCTATGGACAAGGAGGGTATTAAGCATACATGGGCTCTCAGCTGATGGATGGGACAATGGAGCACTAAATCAGGTAACTTGTAAGACCACCAGTGGTATCTTACCTTCATTCCTTCCCTTGGTTAAGTATGACCAATGTAGTGGAAACCACGTTAAATTCTAGAAACATGTGTGGCTGGGTTCCTCCCCATTAAAAGACCAATTTCCGTCTCGTTTTTGCTCTGAGCCACTTCAAAAACAAGTCAGTTTATAATTTCCTTGTTCCTTCTAGCTCCACTAATGGTATTGGTTGGGATCTGGGCTTCCATAGAGGGTTTAAGGAATTGGACTTGCTCCGACTCCAATTCCTTTACTTGTGCTTAACTTTTCCATACCTTGTCTAATTCTGATTTGTCCTCTTCGCAACTTTTCCCAGTTAAGGAGGTCTAGTATAGGCCTATTCCACCCAAGGATAGTGCTTTTTGTTGGAAAGTTGTTCATGGAAAGATTAATTTGATTTACTTCAAAAGAACAGACCACAGTGGTGTTTATCCCCTCATAGATGTTTCTTGTGTAAGGCCAATGGTGAGAACTGTTATCACTTGCTAATTTCTTGTTCCTTTACTACTTGTATTTGGGAATGGTGTTTCTCTTTATTTGGGTGCAGGTGGACTCCTCCAAATAACGTCCAAAACCTATTTGCCTCAACATTCTCTGAATGGACAAACAAAAGGGTGGCATTTGTTTGGACTGAATGGGAAGAAACGAATGCAAGATTGTTTCAGGATAAGGAAAGCTCCAAGGAGGCTATATTTGAAACTATATTGATTAGAACAGCACTTTGGTTAAAATCCATGGATAAATTCTCTAGTGTGTCTATGGACGATCTTCTCAGGAGTTGGAAGGCAGTGGCTGAATCACCACCCAGTAGATCAGTAATTAATCCAATATGGTGCCTGCCGGATAAAGGGTTCACAAAACTCAACTTGGATGGAAGCTGTATGGGTAATCTTGGACCTTCAGGAATAGGAGGGTGTATTCAGAGATGAGAGAGGTATTGTTATAGCACTTTACTCAGGACCAATTGGGGAAGGAGATTCCCTCAGAGCAGAGGTGCTGGCTGCAATGGAAGGAATACAAAGAGCAAGTCTGTTAAACATCAGAAAATTAGTAATTGAAGGAGATTCCAAACTGGTGGTGAGCTGGTTGCAGTGCAATAATCAGAGAATGTGGATTTTTAACTCTCTGAAAAAGAAATTCAAATGGTTAACAAAAGATATGGAAGTAAAGGTCCAATGGGCTAAGCGGTCTGCTAACTCTATGGCAGATTGTTTAACAAAAGATTCTGGACACTGTTGTAATACTTATAGGGTGTCGGGGAGAGACAAGTCTATTTGCCTCTTAATGTCTGTGTATATTGTACCTCATGTATCATTCATTTAAATCTATAATATAAATCTTGTTGTTATTGACCAAAAAGAAAATCATTAATAAACAATAATTCTCATTTATAACACACTTATTTTTGTTTAATATGATGAATATAAAATATTAGAGACATGCCAATTTTTTCTACAAAATTTATGTTTTTTACTATCTATTTATGACATGTCTGACCTCTTTGACCAAGACAGTTGAACTGCTGATCCAATACCAATACCCGGATGGAAAAGCGGCTTGTTTGTCAGTCAATATTTAAATCATTGCAACTAAACGCTGTGGCATAGACATGGGCGTAAACATTATCACAGGAATCAGAATCCAAAGTGTGTCAGTTGGACAAACTTGGCAAGACAAAAAAAGGGCACTGAAATGCATGTAAAAAATGGTTTATAAACATCCAACCCAGTAAGATAGAAAAGCATGGACTTGGGGAGTGGGGAATTACAAAACAATAAAATTCTGAAAAACAGATTCATGTTCTTAGACACCAACAACTAGAAAATAAATAAATAAATAAATAAATAAATAATTGAAACAGTACTACGGTACCAATGTCATATAACCCAAAAATTCTTAAATTGGTATAGGAAATGGAAAATTAACTAAATTCTCCATGGATTCTTTTCTTCTCTCTATTCTCCTTTTTCTTTTCTGTTTATGTTTGAATCATTTTTGTAAAAACAAAAGAAAAAATATTATCCTGTAATATTATTGTTGGGTACCAAAATCTAACTTTTAATATTTAAAATCTGGATTTATGTCAACAGTAAGTACATTATCTGATTTCCATTTGTTCTTAGCTTTTTATAGACTATAGTAATTCAGATTTCAGAGAGATACAATAATACACAGAATGTGTATTATTGTATATATTTTAGAGTTTTATGACATGGAATTTCCAATGCATCTGACATGTTCATTCAAATTTTTTATCAGAAAAAAGTTACATTTATATTAATTGTTTAGTTCCACGCATACAGTGCTGTTGCACTATAACAGCTGCTACCAACACAGAGCATGAAGTCACCTTAATAGTGCTGTTGCATTATTTTTTCATCAGCATGTTTATAGTGATGTTGCACTACAACAGCTGCTACCAACACAGAGAATTATGAATGAGAAAAAGGATGAAGATCAATAGAGTAACTTTTCCAGATATTCCACTAATAATATCCATGAAGTCACCTTAATAAACTGGCTATATGTGACACGCTGACTGTTTGGATATCTGTAATACACAGCAAAGCCCGGCATGTTTCCACACTCACGTTCATATATAGATTCATCACTCTGAGGAATCAAATGTTAGGAAAAATTAGAAAATATCCCAAAAGGAAGCACTTCTAATCAATAAATAGTTAATCAAATTAGATCATGAGCTTATTAACTTAAAAATAATTAAGCAAGGAGAATAAAATCAAGAGGTACATGAGATAAGAGAAACCAAAATTAGAATCAGATGGGCAGACTACCTTCCAATGGTAGGCCATTTTTAATGTCTCATACAAAAACCTCCCAAGTCTACCTGCTTCATATTCAGTGCAACAACAGATCATTGGTTGCAAGGTCTTGCATATGAGAACATCAATATGATTAACAGTGTTAAAGAATGGTGTCCCAAGAGAATGTAGCGTGTGCACAAACATGGCACAGTAAACTGCATCTGGCATGCTAAATATACAGCGTGGAAAAATACAGCGCTGAAGAAATTCCATGTTGATCTTTAAAGTATCTGGGCAGGAACTAAGCCACTTATCCTTCTCTCGAGCAAGCCGTCGGCGGACAGATGCAACATTTTCTTCATGTTTTTGTAGCTCACCTGTCAAACGATCTAGTGATTCTTGGATCCTTTCCTTGTCCTTCTTCCGTTTGGCTATTGCAGAATTTGAATTATCAGTAAGCTCTTCAAGGGCTTTCAGCGCAGCATGCTGCTTGGCAATTTCAGAAAGATAACGGTTTTTTGGAACATAAAGATCATAAAGAGTAAGCCCCCAAAATGTAGCATAGAGATCAGGAGATAGGCTATTCCAAGCTTTTGAAGGTAACATTGTTCGAACTGTATCTAAAAGATCTGACCACCTGTATATGATGATAAAAATAAATTAACATGGTCAATAGGTACTAGCTTATACTTAAACATCACAGAATAAAGAAAGGTGATACAAATATGAAAGTGTGTAAACGTTGACAATTATATACCACCCAACAGTAGAGACACGATTAATGGAAGATGAGAAGAGCAATAATAAAGATAATAGTGTATTACATTATAGGCTTCAGATGAGAGCCAAGATCCAGAACTTCATTGGTAGACGAGACTGAAGGTTCAGAATCTTTTTCAGTATTTAATATATTTGCCTCTTCAGTATTGTCGGAAGGCCAGAAGATACTAGAACCACCTGTGCACTTGAAGAGCCTCATCACAGGCCGATATATCAAAAAAGCCACCTGAATAAAAGAATTAAAGGAATTATTAATCTAGAAGACAAGTAAAGGTTTTCAAGCAACATAACATTCAACTAATCATTAAATAGGGTCATTTACTAAAACACCCCACCCCCTAAAGTTTCATGGATTTATTAAGACCTACTTATAGTTTGTGTTTTACTAACAACCCCTATTGTTTGCAATCAATTTACTTAAACAACCTTCCATTAGATGACAAAGGAAAATGACAGTTTGGACCCTAACAAGTAACATCCATTTAAACAAATTTAATAGAAAGAAGATAAAAATGAAAATATCATTTTCTCCCCTAATAAGACATGAGAAACCACTCTATTTGGCTCTATTTGGTCAATTTTTCTCACTGTATGAAGAAGTGTTGGCGGTAATTTTGGAATAAACAATAATGGGCCAATGCCCTTGAACATTTTCCATTCAGTTTAGGTGATCATGTTACAATTTTTTTTTTATAAAAGATCATTTACAAGTTTCAGATGGTAAAACAAACACGTCTTAGTGAAATGTCGATTAAGTAAATAGGTTGCAAACTATAAGGGATGTTTTAGAAAAATGAAAAGTACAGGATAGGTTTAAGTAAATCCATGAAACTATATGGGGCGTGCTAGTAAATGACCCTATTAAATAATTAACCTCATCAGAAATTCATAATAAATCTTAAATTGTTGTTTTCATAAAATCCGGATTAGTTGCCTTGTCATCTCCTAGCTTAGGTTTGTGTCCAAAAGCTTGTTAACTATCTATATATATTTAGTTAACTAATCTCTAACACAACCAGAGAAGATGTATTAATGCCACAAAATGTTAGAACCGTTGTTCAGAAAACCGGACTGGACCGTCCAGTCGGACCGGTTGAACTGTGACCCCAGCCTTTGACCAGTTCGGTCATACCTGAAATTCATGAAAAACCAGCTAACCATCAGGTTTAGCCGATGAACCAGTCCAGGTTTTATGAAACCGTCCGGGACACAACATGAATAGAAACTAAATGGTTGTGATGAGACTTTGAACCCAAGAATTCTTACTTCTATGCATTGTCTTGTTACAATTAATCCATCTTTTGCATTTATTTCTGCCTCTTTAATGTATATATTACTTTAACACACATGTATTTTAAAGAAAATGTGAGTTAAGAGACTTCACCCCTGATCATTTATTTTAAAAACTTAAAAGCTAGCCATCTATCCACCACATGCAAGTGTAATAATAATTGTAAAAAATGTTTATGTAGTATTTATATGACCCGCAATATATATAGTATATCTTATTATACTATTTATAACGAAAGAAAAATAGTATTTCAACAAAAATAACTATAATCTATATATATATATATATATATATATATATATATATATATATATATATATCGATACTACTATTAATTAAATAAGATAACCCCTTTCTTTGAATTTGGTCCCTCTCTAATTTTGGCACATCCCTAATATTTAATATTAAACATACTAAAGAAAAAATGTGTGATAAACAATATTTTTTTATTGATAATGAAAACAAAATAAAAAAAATTAAAACTGACCGAAAAATGAAATTCTTTTCCTGTTTAGTTGCAGGTCAACAATTCCACCTTCCAGGTCAAATTTGTCAACCCTCAATATCATAATTTAATAATAATAAATTTAAATTATAAAAAAATAAAATATTTATGAAAAAATACTTTTGTAGAAAATACTTGGGCACATCTCTAATATTATATATTCATCATATTAAACAAAAAATAAATGTAATCAGAATTATTTTTATACACAAAAAAAATATGAAAAAATTTAGACATACATTACTACTATCATTATCATCATCATCGCCATCTAAAATTGTCACATGCAAAGCACGTGCACATTTGCTAGTATCCATAAAAAACTTAAAACATTATGAAAAATAAGGGGGGAAAAGAGGAAAAGGAATGAGAAAAGAAAGAAATAAATGCATATACCTCAGGTTCAAGATGGTATTTGTGGACAAGATCATCAAGAGTGGGGATTAGCTGAGCATAGGCTGTAGCTGGTGATAGTGCACTACAAAGGAATTCCACATACTGAAGAAGGGTTCCATGGCAACGATCAAACTGCTCACTAATCATCTTAATATACGGTGAATCTGATTTCATGATGACCCTGAAAGGCATAGAACAATTATGCACAATTTCAACACACTGCTTATACTGTATTTTCACTAGAATGGCAGTCAACAGTTTTCAACTTCCCCGTCTCAACAACAAAATTAGGGTGCCTGTGTGTCTGTGTGCATATATCTTTATAAGGAAAATAGAAACAAGAATGAAAGAAAAGCTTTATCGGCTTACACAGAACGATGTTGGGCTATGAGCAACAAAAGAGGGATTGCCAACTTAGGTTCCTCCTTTGGAAGTAATGAGTCCCTCAGCCTATTTGTGGATTTTATCAAAGCCTGCAGAAGCACTAAATAGTTAATTTTCTGATGCTTATTGGCTGGCATGCCAACAGATATGCTCATACATATTGCAATTAAATATATAAAGAAATCTGTATTCTAAAGAACTTGCATTAAACATAGTGATGAGCACCCATGCCCAGCCCTTCAGAAAATGCTATTTTAATGAAATGCAAAATAAACCGTGATGTTATCCATCTAACTAGGCTATATGCTAGCAAATCTATTTCATCCAGACAATTTCTTATCTCTACAACTATTAATTCAAAAGCAACATAAATTATAAAACCTTTTTCACAGTGGAGTATTTCAAAGACACTTTGACAGCCTAAAAGCATGGCAACATGCATGATCCTAATCATCAAAAATACCCATTTGAGCATAAAGAAATGGCTCAGTCTTATGAGATGCATGCATTATATGAAGGATCTGAGGATCTCCAAAAGTTGGCAAACCTAGTTCACTTGCCACTTGTCCAAAAGCAAGAACAAGAAAAGAAAAGGAAAAATAAAAGATGGAACTTTTTCAAACCCAATTTCCCAGCTTAACATTCAATTCTTCCTACCCTACCTTAAAACACCATTTATTTGCCTCTGTCAATACCATATCTGATTCTAGATGATATAAACAAGAGAAAATGCATCACATCCAACAACTTATTCAGCAAATAAGTATGGCTACTCAAATGCCAACTCACCACCAATCACAGAATATATCATGGCATTTCAAGGATAGCTAATGAAACCTGAAACAGACTATATGCACAAAAGTGCATATATGTACAAACTACACTTTTCCTTGTTTGTTAAGTTTGGAGACGATTGTGTCTTGACAGCCCATATCTGATGTAGGACCAGCTCAATGCTACTCCTTAGAGAATGTTGAATGGTCTTCTTTGATCAGAAATTTATGGCTGTTGATGGCTGTAATGGCTTCTTGAAAGAATAAGGAAGAAAATAGGGAGAAAAAGAAGAGAGAAAATACCCATATCTGATGAAGGACCAGCTCAATTCTACTCCTTAGACAATGTTGAATGGTCTTCTTTGATCAGAAATTTATGGCTGTTGATGGCTTCTTGAAAGAATAAGAAAGAAAATAGGGAGAAAAATGAGAGAAAATACCCAGAATCACTCACGGGGTGCCTAGAATCACTCCAGGGTATGTGAATCATTCACCATAATTAGCATAAGCTGAAGAAAACTCGATAAACTTCATTGCCCTTTGTGCAAAACGTCCATACATATTTATAGACTCTAAACTCATAATAATCCTAGGAGTCAAAACTGTTAGACTCAATCCTAATGGGATGTACTTTTCTTGCAAAAACCTCTTCGTCTCTGCCCATGTACTAATCAATGTTTTAAAACGCGGAGATGTGGCGCGAGGCGTTCCACTACCTAGAGGCATGAGCCATAGTTCAGAATGCAAGAGGCGTAAGCCTCCCGATCACAAGGAAGCATAAGCCTCATTAAGAGAAGGGGGGTTAGGAGGAGGATGAAAAGGAAGGGGGGATCTCATTTTTTCTTTATTTTAATAAAAAATATTTTTATATTAAGAAGAATAAAGATGCATAACATTAGTTGAAGGGGGGGGAGGGGGTCTTGTCGAAGCGGAGGCGAGCGAGCGAAGCGAGCTTTCTTGAGGCATACGCCTTATCTTTTCTTCCCTTCCCTTTTCTTATCTTTCCTTTTCTCTTTTTTACTTCTCTTTCTTTTTCTTTTCCTTTCCTTTTTCTTTTTCTTTTTTTGCCTTTTTATATCAAATGTGCATGAGGCATACGCCTCTAGCACGCCTCAAGAAAAAAGCACGAGGCATACGCCTCTTGCACCCAAGGCGTATGCCTTAGAGGTGTCAGCGCCTTTGGCATACGCCTCAAGGCGTTTTGGGAGCGCCTCGCCTGCCTCCCACGCCTTTTAAAACACTGATACTAATAGGATTATCACCTCTATTTTGAGTGTTTTCTAGTCACTGCTCAAGAGTTCTCCACCATACTTTAGCATGACCCTTCAGCTTCATCCATGCAAATCTAATCCTTTGTTTGTCAAACATATCATGCCAATCAAAATATTCTTCTAGTTCAGCAACCCAATCAAAGAATGTTTGTGGATTGTTATCTCCTTTGAAATATGGTATTTCCCTTTCTCTACTAACATGTTTGAAAATCTTACTCTCATAGTCAACATTATTAGATCTGTTTGCTTCCACCATCTTCTCAAATAAGTCAACCAAAGACCCTTCATATGGTTCAAAAATCCAATCATCATTGATTCTAGACCTGTACGATTGTTTAGAAGATACCCTATGCCTATAGAATCAGTCACTTTGTGAGAACATAGTGAATAAATCATTAGCTCTGGTACCAAACTGATGTAGGACCAGCTCAATTCTAGTCCTTAGAAAATGTTGAATGGTCTTCTTTGATCAAAAATTTATGGCTGTTGATGGCTGTAATGGCCTCTTGAAGGACTAAGATAGAAAGTAGGGAGAGAAAGAAGAGAGAAAGTACTCAGAATCATTTACAGGGTGCCTAGAATCACTCTAGGGTATGCGAAACGCTCACCATAATTAGCATAAGCTGAAGAAAAACTCAATAAACTTCATTGCTCTTTGTGTAAGACGTCCATACTCCATACATATTTATAGACTCTAATAGACTCTAAACTCATAATAATCCTAGGAGTCAAACTGTTAGATTCAATCCTAGTAGGACTCAAACTAAGCTATCATATTCTATTTCAATTCAAAGAAGACTCAATAACTCTAATCCTACTTATGCAATGACTCTAAAATTTGAAACATAAACAAACTATAAATAGACAATCAACCCCTATTATTGGACCCTACAGAAAAATTGTAAAATGGCAAAATTATCCCCAGTATCGAAAAATACAGAAATACATAAAATTTCACAAAACTCCAATTTTGACTATTCAGCTCCTGCATCAATATCTATGTCAAGATATAAAGTAGTGCTTGTTTGTTCCACAATTGCATTTTGAGTACCATTTTCATGCACAATATAAGTTACCAGCATGCACCTTGTTGTTTTTTGTTGTTCCAAAAGAAGTAGCATGATACCGCAGTGTCTCACTCCCTGCCATTGCATCCAATTGTTCCTCTGTCATGTTTTCTGTGTATTGGACATTGGCCATTTGTTGAATGAGCTCCTGTTTCAGACACAACTCAGAATCCATGAAGCTTCTAAAACAATATGTTATAAGTAGCAGACCCCTCAAATGTAAAAGGAAAAGGCGAAAAAATAACAAGACCTGCAAAAGAACAAGCTCAATTCCCTTCCCCTTTGCCAACTGATTCACAAGATATTGGAAAAGACCCCTTAACTCCATTGAAGGGTACTTCTTACACCTGCAAAGGATGCACCAATAGCTTCAGCAAATGTTTGAAAGTATAATTATATAGTATGCATTTCTGTCCAAAGTATTTGTGTACACTATTAATCCCATCCATAAATTTTAGTTGGTTTTCTTGTGAAAATTTTAATGGGCAATTCAAAGGATGGGGGGAGGAAAGGAAAGGAATGGTAAGTACATTAGATCCTAAAAGCAGCAACAAAACATGTGCAAAAAGCCACACTATGGTTTTTTTATAATAAATAGAAAGGAATCTCATTAAAATTTTCATAAAATTACAAGCGATGAGGTGATGAGAAATCACCCAACTAAAACAAGAAAGAAACAGATAAAAAATAAGAAACAGAAAACATTACAGCGTTCCTCAGATTCCAAATCAAGGGACAGCCAAAACCTGCAACCAAATGACTCTTTAGAGACCATGCAAAATCTGGTAGAATCAGAATCCAATCCAAGATCCTCTTCCCAGCAACTGTACAAATCACTTCCTTACTTCGACTGACCTTCAAAGATTCTTTGGGAGATCTAGGTACCCAAAGCTCAACTCTAAAAAGACTGAAGAAAAATCCACAAATAAACTTTGTAAAGCAGCAACCAAAACAAGATCAAGCACGTCCTCTGCATCAGCTTCACAAAGATGGCACCTGCTAGGTATCTGAATCCCTTTACTTCTGAGATGGTCTTGATTAAGAATGCTGTCTAATGAAACCAACCAAGCAAAAGCTTCAACCCTTTGAGGAACCAGACTCCCCGAAAGCTCCCTTAATTTCAGATTTCTTGCCCTGATTCCTTGCCATCGCTTTGTAATACGATTTAACCAAGAAGATGTCATTCCTTCTAGCCTCCCACCATCTTGCATCCAACCCATCTACCTCCATTTCAACTGCATGTAGTTTCAATAAAAGTTCAAACACTCCTCCAAATTCTCTATCAAGTAACGGTCTTCTGAAGATGGAACGCCAAATCACAGCACCTTGTCCAACTTCATACAATTGAGGAAGTGAGATACTTTTCGCACTCAACCTGTGGAGTCTTGGGTAAATATCACACAGCTTACCAACCACTATCCAATCTTCTGTCAAAAACATAATACTCATCCCACTCCCAACTTTAAAAGAAACAAAATTTAAAAATGTCGAATAAAAGTTCATAATTCCCTTCCAAACACACACCATAAGAAGATGCTACCTCCTTAGAATCCCACCCAAAGCTCACCGCACCATACTTACAAGCAACCACTCTTCTCCATAAAGCCTCCCTCTCGTTCCCAAATCTCCACAACCACTTCCCCAATAAGCATTTGTTGAACAACCTTACCCTTTGAATGCCCAAGCCTTCATCCTTTCACTTTCACACTTTCAAATTCCATAAGAATTCCCTTTGCATTCTCAACTGACTCTGCCAATGAAGCTGGAATCTTGAGGAAGGATAAGTAATAAATGGGAAGATTAGAAAGAACAATCTTGATAAGAGTAATTCTTCCACCAAATGATAAATAATTCCTTTTTCCACCCCGCCAACTTCTAATTAATTCTATCCATAACCGGCTGCCAAGTAGAGGGTGCAGAAGCCTTCGAACCAATTGGAAGACCGAGCTATGTAAATGGAAATTCTCCCACATGGCACCCCATAGTCACCGCACATTCCTCTAATAAATATTGTGAAAGGTCACCAACCCCTATCATCACTGTGGTATTAACTCATAGAAGATAATGTTATCTGCATGGTTACTTGTATATTACAGGTATAACTTTATTTACTCATAATTATGACAATTTTCATCAATTTTAAAGAAAGAATGATTACATATAAAATGAGTGCCAGGCTCCCCAATTAAATTAGGCTGACCCCCTTCCACCTATCCCCTCCATTTCTCTATTAACAAATATACTCCATAACCATCAGGCTAAACTACCATAAGAAACACAGTGCACAAAGATCAGTTAAATTTTGACAGAACTATAAACTTCAAAGAGAGTATACATATAAAATATTGATGGGTCAATAACACTTCGCAAAGTGAAACAAAGAACAAACATTCACTGCCTGTTAAATATTGACATCATCTCTCATGTACACATTTAGAAACTAAATGTGTACTGTAGTATGGACATTTTGGTCATACACTGCTCTTCCCTTAATTAATTAAAGGCTGGAGTAGGGGGCAGATGGTGCCTATTCCAGTCTCTCTTGCAACACAATCATTTCTTCACTTTGACTCACTTAGAGTAGAAACCAAGTTTACAACTTAGTCTAAGAGTAGGTTTCTGACCAAATAAAAAATGAATTTAATTTATTCCTGAAGGAAGCATGGTTACATTGTTTTGATATCAATATTACACATGCAAGAATTGGAGGAATAATCCCCACCTCAAAATGGATCACAATCATTGGCTTTCTTTATATATAAATAAATGAAAAAAAATGCACAAGATATTGACTTTGTTTATATATTTGTATTTTGCATAGAACTCCATTTTCTTCAGTTCTCACCTAAACCTCTTCTGTTTCAACTCTCAACAAAATATTAGACACGATGTTACAAATCCTAGGATCATATTACTTTTTTTCTAACTGCATTCCCACTTGATGAGCCAACAATACATTTGCCCATAAAAGTCCATACCTAATGTCCTATCATCTTTGGCATGGCTGCCGATTAAAGCATGTGTCTATATAAAATAAGAGGTCAGGCAATGAAGCATACAGCCAATACAAATTGACCGTAAAACTCTTACAGTGCATTTGAAGCCATAGAAGCAAGGTGATTTGGCCTGCCTTGCCTCAAGGTGTATGCCTTACTACCTCACCTCATAGCCCTTCAAAACCATGGTTGAGTATGTATCAGGCAGTAGATCATTCATTCATTTAGGGTTGGGGAATCATAGAAAAAGAAATAAAAAAAGGCAATGATTATTATGTACAACCATCTTGCACTGCACATCAGATATCATATAAATGGTAAACATAAACGAGATAAAAAATACATACAAGTGGCCCCAAAAGGAAGCCAAAGATTGAAGCCAGTCAGACAAATTAAGGCCATCTTCCTTTAGCTTTTCACGGCCCCCTTGTGCCAACCGCTCAATCACAACATACTCCAAGACATCATACTCAAGCTGCATAAAAAAATTTATCTACTCAGACAAAAGGACATATAGCAACCAAAAGCAACAATCACAACTTACAATCAGAAATGCATTGAAAATTATAAAAAATAACTTTGGAAGCAAAAATAGGGAAAAAAAACTTGCAAAGATACCATGCAACAAGCAATTAAAAAAAACTTCAGAGAGAAGCAAAGAAACAAACAATTAGACAAGTAAAGAAGAAAGCATCAACTAAGTGGTAAACCCACTATAAAAGGAAACAACCTAACACTCAAAAATATTCTTAAATCTGAATACAACCAGTGAAGAAAAATATCATTGCCACTCCAGCATCAAGTAGAATAAAATAGAATAGTTACGGGAAAAAAAAAAGAATTGCATGGCAGAAAATAAGAATTTTATCTGTAATGTTTCATAACCATCAATTGAAGAACACTCAGAATGAAAATCTATAAACTCATTTCACTTAATATGAAAATGGATATAACAGAAGCACTCAGATCTATTGCTGCAGTCCAGCAAATAAATTCCATTTAGAGACAAGAAACCAAGAGACCAATTTCGCTGTAGGGACTCACAAAAAAAAAAAAAAACAATCAAAACTTGATACTAAAAAAAGTCAACTAAGACACCACAAAATCCATCAAGGAAATGGTGCCAGGAAGTAAAATATTATCAGATACAGTGTTTAGAAAACCAGACTGGACGGGTCAGTTGGACCAGTTGAACCGTGACCCAGGCCTCTGGCCGGTTCAGTCTTACCCCAAAAAGCATTGAGATTGATGATGGTACAAAAAGCATTGTACAAGTATGGCCTTCTTGAAAGAACAGAGATGATCTATTGATTTGGCCATGATTGTACAGGGATGGTTTGTTGACTCGACCATGGTTGTAATCTGTATTCACTTCTTTTTTATTAATTAAATAGTCCTTGATCCTGATAAAGGAAATAATGTAATGACACTGAAACATCCATAGCAAGAGAAATATGAGCCCCATACACCTTCACCCATTCCCCCACCCCTGCCAATCCATTTGGCAAAATCTTCTCAAGCAGCATGGAACCAAAATCAATTTCAACAATATCATTCTATGAAGCTTTCACAGTTCAGCACTTAAGCAATCAAGATTCTCAAACAATTTTTACAAAGAAAATCTGACTTCTAGCTTGTCCGGTTGAATCAATATAGGTTTTCCAGAACAAAACTTTATACTCATCACTGCTCCATTGTTCATGCACCCAAATCTTCAACAATTTCGGGATTGAGGCAATTAAGATTTGAAATAGAACTTCGAGCGATAAAATCTTGCTGTATACTCTTCTACCAGCATAATATTTTGTTGCAATTGCACAAATTCCAAGTGGGCTTGCTTTCAAGGCGCCAAGGCAAGGCTAGCCAACAGGGGAGTGGCTTGTCACCTAGTTGCCTAAATGGGAGCCTAGGCAATGGATTTTGTTGAATAAAAACCATGAATCCTAGGATATATAATCTGTGGAGGAGAATAATTTTGGCTAAATATAGAATGACAACAATAATTGGGACCCTCCAGAAACAAATGCAACCTACGAATGTGCACTAAATGGGAGACTAGGCAATGGATTTTGTTGAATAAAAACCATGAATCCTAGGATATATAATCTGTGGAGGAGAATAATTTCGGCTAAATATGGAATGACAACAATAATTGGGACCCTCCAGAAACAAATGCAACCTACGAGCGTGCACTATGGACAGGCATTCAGAAATTCTTGGAAGAATTCAGAAAAGGAATAAGATTTGAAGTTGGTGATGGCTCTGGAATGATATTTTGGCAGGACATATGGGGTGGAAAACAACCTCTTAAAGAAGATTTTTTCATCAAGAAGAGTCAGGTGAGTGGAACCCCATTTTTAGAAGGGTTTAAATATTTAGTAGATTAGGTGGTGGGCGGATCTGATGCAAAGAATAAATGCAGTTAAACCTTCAAGAGAAGGCAGAAACAGAAGACCATAGAGATGGGAAAGTTCTGGTCAGTTTCAGTGAAATCATTTTATAAGCCTCTATCTGAAAGAGAGTCAGATTTCCAATGGAAAGAATTTGGAAAACTGCAGCTCCTATGAAAGTGGCCTTTTTCTTATTGACTACCACACTGGAAACATGCCAATGGTGGACAACTTAAATAGAAGAGGTATGGGGATAGAAGACAGAATATGCAAAATGTGTGGGGTGGAGTCAGAATCAGTAGATCATCTTTTTATACATTGCAAATTCACAAGCAGCTATGAAACAGGGTATCAGGTGCTATGGGGGTGCAGTTCTGTTTTCCATCAAATTTGAAAGCTCTCTTATGGAGTTGACAGGTGTGGGACTTGAGCAAGAAAAGAAAGGTTATTTGGGAAGTGATGCCTTCGACATTAATTTGGTCAAATTGGATTAGACGAAATGCATGAATTTATTACGACAAATACAATTCAGAGGATACTGTCATCGAGTATATATGGGGGAAAATTCATTCATTGGCAGCAAATCATAGCAGTTTGAAAAATGACCCTTGTAGATCTGTCTTTGATCATGGGAATCTTTGTGTATCTAATTATAGTTATAGATTAGTCTGTTTGCTGAACATGGTCTCATTGTGCAGCGTATTGTAATTTTTGCGCACACACACACACACATTTGAGAGGGATTTGAATTGACCATGCACAAAAATTAAAAAAAAAAATGCTCCAAGAAGAAAATGAACAAGTTAAAACCAAGCAAATTGAAGAGAGAGAGAAAGAGAGAGAGGAGAAGGGAGAAACTTGCTAATTAGAACATCTATATTACATGTGAAATAAAGAAATAGGAGAGAAGAAAGATGATATAGAAGAAAAAAACAAGAGAAAAATAGGGAACAAAGGTTAATATTGAGAAGAAACACAGAAAATTTTCACCACTTTCAATTAACTTTGGCACCGTTTGGCGCGTCTTTTTTGCGTGGTCTTTTGGTTGTTTACAAGCCGGGAAGACCGAAAATCGGTCTATTCCCGTTTGGCACGCGGAAGATCTAGCCGCCAAAAGACGCGGCGCCGAAAAGACGCATGAAGCCCATTTTGGGCTGATTTCGGGAATCTCCAAATGAAGCTTCTCGCGTCTTTCACATTTTAATCTCGCACGGAAAGACCCAAAGTGACGCACGGAAAGACACGCGTCTGCCAAACGGTCTTCGGGCTGCCCAGATCTTATGTCAAAAGCTCAATGCGTCTATTGACTGTCAGAGCTACGAGAAGATCTTCTCAAAAAGACTTGCCAAACGGGCACTACAGGTATAGCTCACCGAAATTACAAAGTTGCCATTAGAAACTTCAGATCAAATGAAAACATCATAATTCCTATTCCACCTATCCTATATTCCTATGGTTATGAAACTTTAAACAAAACTTAGTTCCTACAACTGAAACTTTACAATCCACAAGCTAGATGTCTAATGGACCTTTATATTCATAAGGGGGTTAACATTCAAGAACCTTAATAGGCATTATGGAACTACTCGTGAAGATGTTGATATTTCATGAACAAAGCTGATTGATGAAGTCATTTTTATTTCCAAATAACATCACTGATCACACACAGCCTGATTAAAATTTAATATGGTAAAACAAGAATACCAGAATCTTTTCCAAAATGAAAAATGAAGGAAGAAAATTAGCAATCAATTAAGAAGATACAAACCTGTGTCAAATACTTGAATGCATCTACAACTGGAGTGATCATATCCCGGTATGCCTCAATCTGTAACATATAACAAGGTCCCAGAACATGGTGTTGTTCTAGAAGAAATAGACCCACAAAACATTATGAAAATCTAATGCAGAAAAAGAAATACCTGCAGTACAATTGTTCGAAGCACTGTCATTGGGTTGGCATGAGCTAGTTTTGCCACCATCCTACCAAGCTGCTTTAAATTTTCCTTCGCAAGTCGTTTTAGGATTCTTCTGGTGTCCAACTGTAGAATTATAGTAAGGTGAGATGACATAGCACCAACAGGTTACACTTATGAAAAAGTTCATGTCTCAATAAGCAGACTTAAAAACCTTTGCTGTCTGTCTTGCAGCCAAAATCATTGGAATCCGCTCATCTTCCTTTTCCCATTCTCCATACAAACGATACCGCACCTAAGCAGATGAGATCCATCTAGTCAGTTTGTACACCATGCTTAACAATTTGCAAATGAAAGAAGCAAATAGCAATAACATAATGCCAAACCTCATATGGGAGGAGACTTAATACTTCCCATATCTCCTGTCCAACAGCTGGATTTGCAGGTATCAACTGCAAAGAAGGAAGAATGCATTTTCCTAGTGCTTCCTCAACCCTTGCCTGAGCTTCCCTCAGGTGAAAACCAGGACCTCGGCTTCCCCCATTCCCAGACTCAGGGTAAGTAGTCTCACCACCAGAACCCACAAGCTCTTGTGCAGACAGATAATAGCCTTTTAAGACCCTGCATACCTGATCAGCATGAGATATACATAGTTAATTCAGCATGGTTATATGCAACCATAACTCAAAGAGAAAATGACACCATGAAAAAGTATGACAAAATGGCTGCAGAATATTCACTACCTTCTGTAACAGTACAGTATTACGGTAGAGATAAGGACCAGCAGAAACAAGCATTTGAAAAAGTTCTCTTGGAAGATCAACAAAAGATCTCTTGACTGATGATGCATCTGTTATCTCCATATTATCAGAAACAGATCCAGTGGACAGTCCACTATGAATATGTGTATGGCGAACAATATCATATGCTGAAGAGATTGATTTTTCAATGAGCCTGGAGCATATAACAAGTACATTATAAGTTGCATAAGGAAATCATTTCAAGGTTTCGTGTTGCTATATCAAATAAATTAAACTGAAAGGCACTGCATTCTAAAGCACAATGGTGCAAACAAGAAAAAAAATTATCAAACATTACCTTGCCCAACTCAACAAAAAAGTAGAAAGTCTTGAACATTACCTAAATAAACCCTCACATATTTGCACATGTGCAACAGGATTAAGCGGAGAGAGACGATCCAACAATATCTGAGCATGATACCTGAAAACAAATCACAAGATCTAACATACGAAGTCCAAATAATATAACCTGGGTGTATGAACTGTTAGATAAGCAAAAATGAAACAAAAAAAAAAAGCATTTCACTTGATTAAATAATTGTCCATAGCTTGAAGAACAAACTGGGAAGATGCATGCACAAAAAAAAGGCCATTAAATTCAAAGGGCTTGTTGAAATGGACACTATAATGCAATAAGGTTCACAACTGAGTCAAATAATCCCAGACAAGCCATCACGACTAGTATGAGGAAGATCAATGACTTCATTAACTCTTGTGAGTTACAAGAGTTTCCTTTACCACAAGCTATATTCATTTGGTCCAACTTCCAAGAAAACCCAACTTGTTCGAAGCTTGATAGATTTCTTTTTAATGAGGGTTGAGAGAGCCATTGGAGAGACTTGGTGACTAAGGCCTTACCTAGAGTCACCTCTAACCATTGCCCCATAGAAGTAGGACAAGAACCTCTTGGAAATGGACCTAGACCATTCAGGTTTGAGAATATGTGGTTAACACATCCGGATTTCTTGTCTAAGGTTGAGCTGTTGAGGAATGGTGGAGTGAAGAGATGAGGGGAGTGAAATGGAAGGGGCTAGATTCCACAAAAAATTAAAAAGGTTGAGAGGCAAAATAAAAGAATGGAATAGGGATCAATTTGGAAGAGTGGAGGAAGCAAAAGCTAGACTACTGACTACTCAGATTGAGGATTTAGATGCAAAAGAGTCCCAAAGGATGATGAAAGTGCAAGATAGAGAACTAAGATGGAAATTGAAAAAGGAGTTAGAGGAGGTTCTATTGAGGGAGGAGATCTCGTGGAGACAAAAATGTAGGCATAAATGGATCAAGGAAGGGGATGGAAATACTATATTCTTTCATGCTATGGCTAATGGGAGAAGAAGGAAAATCTTGATACTTAAGCTTGAGGTTGATGGAGTTAAAATAACCTCTCAAGACAAGATTGCTAGTAAGATTGTGGCTCACTTCAAATCAATCTTCCAAAGACCTTTGGAAAATCAGTTAAGAGTGGGGGAGGGGGACTGGCCAACATCAAACAAATATGGGATGGTTAGAAAGAATGATCGAGGAAGAGGAAATTAAACAAGTTGTCTTTTCTATGGATAGAGCTAATGCACCAGGTCCAAATGGGTTTACAATGGCAATTTATCAGGACTATTGGAACATAATCAAAGAAGATTTAACTGGAGCCATTAGAGAATTTGAGGACAAACATATTGTGAGTCCTGGAATCAATGCCACTTTTCTAGCTCTAGTTCCTAAAAAGACCGATGCCAAACACCCCAAAAATTTTCGATCAATCAGCTTGGTGACTAGAATCTATAAGATTTTGGCTTAAGTGCTCTCTAGAAGGATCAAAGCAGTTCTCCCTTCTCTCATTAGCCAAGCACAAGGAGCCTTTGTACAAGATAGACAAATTACAGATCAGATCCTCATTGCAAATGAGAGTGTGGAAGAGATGAGGAGATCTGGCAGAAAAGGCTTTGTCTGCAAATTGGACTTGGAAAAGGCTTACGACCTAGTGGATTGGAGTTTCTTGTTGGAGGTGTTAAGAAGGCGTGGATTTGGAGATAAATGGTGTAATTGGATATGTGGATGTTTAAATTCATGTCATTATTCAGTCTTGGTTAATGGAGTGGTTAAGGATTTCTTTCCAGCCAATAGAGGCTTAAGACAAGGTGACCCACTTTCTCCTTTCCTCTTTACACTTGTTGGCTTGTTGCTGATGTTCTTAGTAGATTGATCTCCAAAGCAGATGTGGAGGGCCAAATAAAGGGTTGGAGAATAGGGAGGAGAGGCATTTCAGTAACTCACCTTCAGTTTGTTGATGATATTGTTATTTTCTACGAAGGGAATGATTTAAGCAAGGTGGACAACCTTAAGAATTTAACAAGAGCCTTTGAGCTTGCCTCCAACTTGAGGATAAACTTTGATAAAAGTTGTGTGGCTGGATTAAATATGGAGGATTGGGAGATAGAATCCATTGCAGAGTGTTTAGGTTGCACCACCTCTTCTTGGTCTTTGACCTACTTAGTTCTCCCCTTAGGAGCTAAACCTAGAGAAAGTAGTTTACGGGCTCCTATTGTGGAGAAATTTCATAAATGTTTGGCGGCTTGGAAAAAGAATTACATCTCAATAGGGGGTAGGGTGACTTTGATTAGGGCCACACCTACTTCCTTTCAGTTTTCAGGATTCCCCCAAGGAAGGCTAAGAAATTGGAGAAGGTAATGAGGGACTTTCTGTGGGAACAAGGAGAGGTGAAAAAGGACCATCTAGTTAGATGGGAGATAGTTAATAAACCTAAGGAAGAACTAAGAAGGGGACCTAGGGATAGAGAACATAATGCAGAAGAATGAAGCCCTCCTAGGGAAGTGGTTATGGAGATGGCCTCGGGAGAGAGAGAGAGAGAGAGAGAGAGAGATTATGGCATGAGGTGGTGTCAAGTATTCATGGCTGCTCAGTAAATGGTTGGGATGTCGGGATATCTCGTCGAGCTATCCTTACAACACCTTGGAAGGCTATACATGGTATTCTCCCTCGCTTCCTCAGGTTTATCAGGTATGATGCTTGCTCTGGTGATTCTATTTGGTTTTGGGGATGTTTGGGTGGGTAATCAACCCCTCAAAGATCGGTTCCCCTCGCTTTACTCTCTCTCCCTTCACAAAAAAGAGTCAATTGCAAATTTTCTTCCGAACCCGTTTATTCCCATGTCTTTAAACTGGGACTTTGGATTTCGTAGGGGATTAAGGGATGGTGAGTTGATTTATGTCACTAAGCTACTTCATTTACTTGAGTTAGTTTGTTTGGACCCCACATCTTCTGATCAAAGAGTTTAGACTCCTCTTCCAAAAGGTACATTTACTTGTGCTTCTTTTCTAAAATCCCTCAGTTCCAACCCCAATTCCCGAGTGCTCCCCTTTAAAGAAGTTTGGGCGCGACCTATTCCTTCAAAAATTGTTGTATTCTACTGGGAAGTCTACTACGGGAAAATCAATACTTTGGAAAACTTGCAAAAAAAAGGAGACCCTTTCTTTGTCTTTCCCCGAACTAGTGTTCCTTGTGTAAGGCCCAGAATGAGGATTGTTTCCATTTGTTGATCTCTTGTTCCTTTGCTACAGCCTTATGGTGTTGGAGCCTTAGTTTATTTGGAGGTGGGTGGTCTCTGCCATCTGATGTGAGTTTGTTATTTAACCCATCTATTTTTGTATGGCACACTAGAAGAGGCAAGTTCATATGGAAATGTATCAGGGCAGCCACCTTATGAACTCTTTGAGAGGAAAGGAATGCAAGTCTTCTTAGAGAAGGAAAGAAGCTTGAATGAAGTGAAGGACTGTATTCTAACAAGAGCAATACAATAGCCAAAAACCTTGCATATATTTGCTGATTTCACTTTTGATGACCCGTGGAGGAATTGGTTAGTAATAGATAATACTTCTACAAAGAAGAATAGAAGTTTGTTAGAATGGGATCCGCCTCCAGAAGGTGTCATCAAGTTAAATTTTGATGGGAGCAGCCAAGGTAACCCTAGGCCTTCAAGTATAGGGGGTGTCATAAGGAATAAGGATAGCAACATCATCTCCTTATTCTCAGGACCAGTGGGAGTGGGGGACTCTACAAGGGAAGAAATACTAGTTGTTGTACAAGGAATTCAGATCGCTAACCAGCTTGGGGTGGAACATCTCCTAATTGAAGGGGACTCTCAGGTGGTAACAAGGTGGCTTCTAAACCCAGATGCTACCATTTGGGCTACAAAGACCTCATCAAAAAAGTAAAGTGGTTAACCAGTAATATGAGAGTTGAGGTAAAATGGGTAAAAAGGTCAGCTAATGCTATGGTTGATTCTTTGGCCAAACAGGGGGTTTCCAGGGAGGATCTTTTTTGTGCTACATTGTAACTTGTTCTAGTATATTGGAAAGTTGTACTTAACTAGCTTGGAGAGGTTGCATCTCATGCCTCTCCTTGGGGACATTGTACTATTTATCATTGCTGATTAATAAACTTCTTTCAATTATCAAAAAAAATGGACACTATAACAAAGCATGGAGATCCACATTCAATCATTTTTTAGTGCCTGTCAACAATAATCTGGTAGGATAAAGGGCAAAGAGTCCAAACATTCAGGCAGCACCATCAGACAATTCAAAGAAAATATAATAACATAAAAACAAAATTGAAAAAAAAAACATAATTAATATTTTAAACCTATCACCAGTCAGAAAACTACATAGCATAATGCTCATTAATATGGTTACTTATGCAAGCTTTGACATGTCAATAGCTTTTTTTTTCCATCATAGTTTGGAGAATCATTTATTTCAAACCCAAGTTCAAAGTCTAGGTATAAGATCTAACAGTTTAACCTTCTGGCTGGTCCTGGTCCCAGAATGCTGCATTCAATAAAATAAAGTCAAACAGAACATATAGGACAGGACATCTATGTGGAAAAGAGAGAAACCATCATCTTTTTTTGGGCAAAGAAAAACATCTACCAAGTCTTTGTGTTCCTGCTAGAAGCCTTATCCTGCAAAGGATTAGGTGTAGAAGAAATGGCTTTAAAAAAAAGGAGCATAAGTGAACAAACCCAAAGAGTTAAAGGTCCATATTCTGCAGCCATATTTAGAAGTAATGGTGAAATTATATTCTTTTGAACAAAGCACTGGTGTGGCAATGCTCCCCTATGCCTCATTGGAAATCAAATTGTATGGGCACCGAGACTGCAAAGAAATTGGATGACTGGAATCTAAAACCACTCATTGAAATGTTGAGGGAGGTGAAAAGAACCAATCTAAAACCAGGCTCAGGTGATCAAATGTGGTGCACTGGTAATAAGCCAGGTAGGTTGTCAATCAAGTCCTAATTTGAGAAATTGGAGCCTCAGAGCAAGGACCAAACTTTCACAACGTATCAGACAATATGTATCGTATCGATGGGTCAAAGATACGCAAAATATGAGGAGTTTCAGGGTATGAACAGCTTCAGGGAGTAGCCAGGCCTTATACTGACCCCCCTAAACATTTAAAAAAAAAAAAAAAAGAAAGAAAAAAAAACTAAAACAGATTAAAAGTGCATCATTTAAAAGTCCGACACACCCCATCTTGTGTATCAGACTGTCAAGACTGTGAACCTTGCCACAGAGCAGGAGGATGTCCTGGTGCTGGATTTGGAAGCAAAAAGTTCCATCAATGGGATCTTATTTTCTTTGGTTTGCCATCAAAGGCAAGATTCTCACAATAGACAGTCTCCAGTACAAAGGAATGATCACTATAAATAGGTGCTATTTATGTGGTGCTCTGGATGAAACTATCCAGCACCTGATTATTCATTGTGAACTCACCTACCCTATTTGGTGTCACAACATTAAGTTGTTTAGAGTGCAGTAGGTTATCCCTCCTCACATCCACACGTAATAGAACCAGACTTACCAGTCATCAACAGAAAGAAACCCACTGAGCAAACCCAGACTCTGGTTATTTTCCAGCTCAGTTGAACGTTCAGCAACGGCTTCACTTTCCATGTCTAAAGCAGCAAAAAGATCTATTGTCACATCCCCTTGTTTTTCATCTTCCATCAGATCCTTTCCAGTAGCAGCAAGATTTATTTTGCCAATTTTGTTAGCCTAGAAAAATAGAGAAGTCAAGCCCAATAAAAAAGATAACTGGTCACTTCAGATGAATCCTTCTTCAAACTTTTCAATGCAAAGAAAACATCAACAACTGTTGGTGTAAAATAGAACAAATAAGTTCAAAAATCAGTATGTAATCATAAAGAAAAAGACTAAGAAAAAATACATTCAACAAGAAAAACTAAGACCTCCACAAACATAGACAAACACATTGAAAGCCTAAATATTCAAGCCACTGATTAATAAGGGTATTTGCCACCATAAAGAACTTTTTATGTGGTTAGGGTATAAAAAAAGGGAACATTCTGCAAGTTCGTTGCAGAGTATGTAACAAGATAGTGATACAAGGTGCTAGAAACTGTGACTCCAAGAACCCAGAAGGCGACAAGCCAGTGCAACTCATATCATATATTATTTTGTGTGTTCTTCAAAGTGGTTCAGTACATTCAAGTGAGTAATATAAAATGCTAAAAGAAACAAAGATATGCACCATATGAATTGACAAAAGTTATGCATACAATACAACTAGCAATTAAAAGACAATAAAAGTAAAAAAGGTCCTGTCAAATAAAAGTGTCAGGAATCTAATAAATGCACATATCTGAAATAGGTTAAGATACCTCTTCAAACCGCTTGGCAGAAAATGCATTATAATGCTCAAAAGCTTCATCATCCTTAGGAAGCAAATGTGCATATCTGAAATGGACAAGGTATTGTCAGAAGTAACAATAAAAGCATGTTCATCTAAAAGGAAAAAGCAGTAACCAATTTAGTGGTAAAACCAACAACATAACAAAATATATGAAACAAAGTCAAGTGTTCCCCACAATTCTCTGAACCTCCTATATGGAAGTTGACCATGTTTGATAGACAAGCAACATTAGTTCCTCTCTTTCTTTTAATCTTGCACCATAAAGAAGAATTTACTAATCAAAATATTAATCAAGAATTGGGACCAGCAGAACTCAGAAGCCTCATCAAAACAGATGACACAAAATATAAAAGGACCAGGCTACTACGAATGGTACTGTCATTCTAGTAGGGGATGATACCAATGCAGCTTACTCCTCCTCTGGTAAGGCTATCAGTCATCAAGTTGGCAAACCTCAGAATCCATATGAAGAATACAAAGTGCAGGATTTTGTACAAACAACATTCTACCCTCTAAGCTCATAGAAATTCTGAAAGGGTCTGTTATTCTTACCCAGTTATACTAAGCGTGGAAACAGTTTCCTAAGAAGTCTAAAGTCAAACCATGAGTAATTCTTAGGACATAATTTGACTGTCCAACACTGCACCATATAAAAACGATGGCCTTGTTGCTATCTCATAAAATAGTCCTTGCAATCTGATATTATTCTCTGATCACTTCTCTTGACAATAAAGGCAACATTTTAGTCCTGCAAGTCCATGTTTTCCTTTCATGTTACTGAGGATTTTCTGCCATGTCAACTTTGCTGTCAAACTGAACACAATAAAAGTTTTACAGGTCAAAGCGGCACCTAAATCAGTGCTTAGGTGAACCTTCTCAATAGCTGATGTCTGAGAGTAGAACAGGTTAGTGTAGCATAAGAACATGGTACTGGGGGCTGTAGCATTAGACCAGACAACTCCCATACACAAGGCAGAAGGATGACTTGAAACAAAACAATACAATAAGGGCAGATCCAGAACAGGGACAAAACCCACCTTGATAAAAAATGGGGTGATGACCTTTGAACCTGATTTCCCAGAGGCAACACAAGGAAAGAGGTGTTGAAGGATGCAAGATACCCATATCTACTAAATGTTCTGAAGGGTTAATTTAGTCAAAGTGAGTTCTCACCATATGAAGGGGAGTTGTATTTGAAAATCAAAGTTCCCTGCAACAGTGGTTCTTACCATGTCTGGGAGAGGGTACAAATGGGATCTGTATTTAGTATGCACTTCAAGTGTTCCACATTGGCGGGAGCCTCATGCACTGGGCTGCCCTTTTTTCCAAGTGTTCCACCATCCATCAATTCAGAAGTCCAAGACCTCCTTCAAATAGCTTATAGCTCAACTGTAGAGATTCATATTTCTGGGGGATGAAAATTATAAATCCTCTGTTGGTTTGAAGTGGTATCAGGCTTAAAGGCTAATCTAGCAAAGAGTGAAATGATGGCTGTTGGAGAGGTTAGTAATCTGCAGTCCCTAGCTGACTTGTTGGGTTGCAGGCCGGGAACTCTACCTTCCTCCTATTTGGGGCTGCCTTTAGGGGCTAAGTGCAATTCCAAAAGCATTTGGTCCCTGGTGGCAGAAAAAATGACTAGCAAGTTAGCATCATTGAAGGCAAAGTATTTGTCTAAGGGGGGTAAATTAGTGCTGTTAAAAAGTGTGTTGGACAGCATTCCTGTGTATTTCATGTCCTTGTTCCCTTTGCCGGCAAAGGTAGCTTCAAGACTGGAGAAAATCATGTGAGATTTTTTATGTGGGGTGGAAAGATTCCAACAAGTTTCACCTAGTAAGTTGGGATCAGATTTGTAAACCTTTCAACTCTGGTGGTTTGGGAATCGAAAAACTGAAGCCTTTCAACTTGGCTCATCTTGGGAAGTGGTTTTGGAGGTTTCTGCAGGAGCCTAACGAGTTACGGAGACAAGTTTTTTTTATTTTATCAATAACACTTTCATTAATTCAACAATAGAAGATTTACAATAGGAAGACTAACACACTTATCTTCCAAGAACAACAAAGGACCTCAAGAAAAGGAAAAAGAAAAAGAAAAGACACTAAAGTTACAGCTTAGCCCAAAACAGTGAATCCCTTTCTGCCCCTTGTTTTGGCTAAACCATCAGCTAGAGAATTGGCCGATCTTTTAATCCAGCATATCTTAACTTCCATCTCCCGCACCAACCACTTAAACTTCCTCCTCTCATTGCTGTAATTCCATAAGCCATTGGTGTCTTTATTCAGCCACCCTATCACCACCTTCGAATCCCCTTCAATTAGGAGTTTCCTGATGTTCATCTCCTTAGCTTTCTGGACTCCTTCCATAACTGCAAAGATCTCAGCTCTAAGGGAGTCACCCACTCCAATTGGGCCTGAGAACATGTCAGAAATGACCCCATTCTCATCCCTAAAAGCACCCCCAATCACTGATTGTCCCGGATTTCCCCTACTACACCCATCAAAGTTTAGTTTCAAGAATCCAGTAGGTGGAGGGGTCCAAGACACACACTCATTGCTGACTTGGTCTGTGTGCAATTTGCTATTTCACCCCACGTCCTCAACATGTCATCCACAGTGTAATCTGTGAATAACTCCGAAGATTTCAGCCACTATACAGCCCTAATGTGTATGATAGCCTTCAGATCTGCTGCTCCTCTCTCAGCTCTTGAGAATATCCTGGAATTTCTTTCTTCCCATAGTGTTCAACATACTGCAGCCCTCAGTCCCCTCCACATAGTCCTTCCCCTTTTTATACGCCACCTGAAAAAAGAAGGGGAAAAAAGGCCCTGCAAGTCTGATGGAGGATTCCAACTACACCCAAAAAGGGAGAAAGCCCATTCCCAAATTGACCTCGCAAAATGGCAAGACACCAGTAGGTGAAAACCAGTCTCCCCACCCGCTTTACAACGAACACACCAATGAGGTGACAAGCAAGTATTGGGTCCCTTCTTTTGGAGTAGATCACTAGTGTTGAATCTTTCCAGATAGGCTTCCCAACAAAAACTACCAACCCAACGAGGTATTGCTTTGCACCAAACCTCTTCAACAGGGAAAGGGGGGAAAGCAGGGCTGGTGGACTGACTTAAGACTTTGAAGAAGGAAGCACAAGAAAAGAAGCCATTGGGGGTAGGTGTCCAAATTCTAGAGTCCACCCTAGTGGGGTCTAAGACAAAGTTATCAAGAAGTGCAGTAAAGCTTGAAATACTGTCGAAGTCTAAGTCCCTCAAAGCCCTTCTTAGACCCAAGTTCCACCCAAACCCAGACGTGGAAGAGGAAGGGTGATGAAAGATGAGACTGGCTCATTTTTCAAATCAGATAGAGCATACAGAGAAGGAAACTGGTCCTTTAGAGGGGCACTCCCCACCCAAGTTTGTTCCCAAAATTTTATGGAATTACCGAAATTCAAATCATACCTGATATTAAGGGAGAATACTAGTAGCAGATCATGAATGGCTTTCCGAGGAGAATTGCTTGTGATCCTAGCTCTGAATTCCAGCGTCCCAACCATTGTGCTCCAGCCCATGTATACTTGCCACTATTCTAGCCCATAGCTTCTCCTTCTCCATAGGGAACCTCCACAACCACTTCCCCAGAAGAGCCATATTCCTTCTTCTAATATTCCCAAGCCCCAAACCACCACAAGCCTTACTACTACACACTACCTCCCAGCTAACTCTACGATCCCTCTTCTCTCCCGGCTCCCATAGGAAATCTCTCATCAACTTCTCCAATCTGTTAGAAACCTTCATTGGGAATTTAAACACCGACAGGAAATAGATGGGTAAGTTAGCAAGCGTGGCCTTAATCAGTGTAATTCTCCCACCGAGAGAGAGGTAGTTCTTTTTCCAAGATACCAGTCTCTTTTCAAACCTTCCCACCACCGGGTTCCAAAAGCTCTCTCTCATAGGATTATCACCTAATGGCAACCCTAAGTAGTTCAATGGCCACCCCAAGACTTCACACCCCAGCACTTATGCACTCTCCCCGATCTCTCCCTCCTCCAWATTCACCCCCACTACACAGCTTTTCCCAAGGTTTACCTTCAAGTTGGACATTTGCTCAAACAATTGTATCACCAGCTTCAAGTTCCTAATAAAGCTCACATTACCGCCTTAACAAAACAGAACCGTGTCATTAGCAAACTATAAGTGAGTGAGGGGGGTTTCCACCCTCCCAACTCTCCAGCCTCTAATGAGCCCCCTAGAGTCTACTCTATGAATCAATTTCCCCAGGACATCTGCAATTAATATGAACAAGGAGAGAGGGGGTCTCCTTGTCTTATACCCCTACTGGCTGGAAAGAAATATATCATTGTCCCATTCACTAGCATTGAATAATGACAATTCCGGACACAACCCATGATCCAATTACACCATCTAGCCCCAAACCCAAATTTGGTCAAAACTTTCCTCAAGAATTCCCAGTCCACCAAGTCATAAGCCTTTTCCAAGTCCAACTTACAGACCACTCCCTTCTTTTTATCCCTCTTAAAGTTCTCCACACTCTCATTAGCAATTAAAATATGATCAGTAATTTGTCTTCCACTCACAAAAGCTCCTTGATTTTGTGCAATGATATCTGGCAATACCTCCTTCAGCCTCAAAGACAACACCTTTGTAATGATCTTATACAGGCTATTTACCAAGCCAATTGGCCTAAAAACCTTCGGGTGGGAGGCAACTTTCTTTTTTAGAATTAAAGCTATAAATGTAAAGTTCACACTCGGATTGACAATTCCTCTCCTGAAAAACTCCTCAAACACCTGCAAAAGATCATCTTTCAAAATATCCCAACAGTCCTGATAAAAAGCCATTGTGAACCCATCCGGCCCTGGAGCTTTTGTTTTATCCATAGAAAACACAGCCTCCTTGATCTCTTCCAAATCAAAGCTTCTTTCCAATCTTCTCCTGTTCTCCACCCCTACATCTGGCCACTCCAATCCTTCTACCCACACTCTTCTACTCATAGGCCTTCTTAGAATAGATTTGAAGTGCTCCACACATGCCCCAGCTATCTTCTCTTGTTGTATTAACTCGACTCCATCTACTACCAATTTGGAGATAAAGTTCCTCCTTCTCCTGCCATCTTCCAAAGAATGGAAATACCTAGTGTTTCCGTCTCCCTCTTGCAGTCATTTACACCGAGATTTTTGCCTCCAGCTAATTTCCTCCTTATGCAAGCAATCCTCTAACTGTCTCCTCAAACCTCTCCTAAGTTCATTGTCTTCCTCTCCAAATTCTCCCATTTCTTCTTTAGAGTCAAGTCTTTCAAGTTGATCCATCAGAGCTCCCTTTCTTTCTTGTATCCTCCCAAACTCCACAAGATTTCACTCCTTGATTTTTGCTTTCAAAAATTGTAGTTTCTTATGGAATCTCATCCCCTCCCATTCCACCATTGGGTTATATTCATACCACCACTCCCTTACTTTGTTAGTAAACCCTGAATGGAGTAACCACATATTTTCAAATCTAAAGGGGGTAGGWCCTCCACACCTTCTTTCCTCCTTACATAACACTATAGGCCAATGATCCGAGGTCACCCTTGGGAGAGATCTAGAAGCCAACTTTCCCCAATGTTCTTCCCAATCCAAAGAGAACAGGAATCTATCCATCTTAGAGAAAATTGGTCTAGATTGAAGATTTGACCATGTAAATGTATTGTGGGCTAGGGGAATCTCTTTAAGCTCAAAGGCATCCACAAAACTGTTAAACTTCCTCATGCTTTTTGTCACCTTCTGATTAATCTTATTGGATTCCTCCAAGAATCTGATCACATTGAAATCCCCACCCACATACCAGGGCCCATCCCATAGCCCTCTAACATCGGCCAATTCCTCCCACAACTCCTTTCTCTCTATAGTCATTTGGTCCATATACATTTGTGAGCACCCACACATAATCATCCTCTTGCTGCTTAAACTTCATGGAAACCGAGTATTTTCCGATCAACTCCTCCAGACCTTCAACCACATCCCTCTTCCACATTGTTACAATCCCCCCGGAAGCACCCCACGATGGAGCCGCCACCCAGCTAATCCCCCTGGCTTTCCATACACTCCTTGCCAATTTGTTATTAAACTCCGTTCTCTTAGACTCTTGTAACAGCACAATATCTAGGTCATACCTCCTTATTACCTCTTTTATCGTCGCTCTCTTCCTTGCACTCCCTATTCCCCTCACATTCCAACTAGGAATCTTCATTCCGCTTCTTTCTTAAACCCCCTTGCCACCTACCCACTACTTTCCCCCATTCCTTCTATCTCCTTTTACCTCGAACTTCTTGTCACCTTCAACATCTCTCTTCAGCCTCTCTACTTCACTCAACTTCCTCTTCTTTGTTCTGATCTCCTTCTTCCTCTTCTGTAAACCTTCTTTCAGCACATTCAAATCTTCCAACATACAATCCAACTTCCCTACAAATTCTGCTAACATGTCTTCTCTCACCGAGTCCTCCACCCCTGTCCTTCCTACAGAATCCCCTCCATCTCTGCCCACCTGCCCTTCCCTCCTCTCCTCTGGTCCCACCTCTCTTCTCTCCTCTCCATCCATCCTCCCTCTGGAGACTAGTTATTGTGCAGAAATATGGTTTCCACAGCAATGGGTGGGATCCGGTGGAACCAACCTCTCTTATGGGTGTGGGGTGTGGAAAGGGGTTATAAAGCCTACCCTTTTTTCCAGAAATGTATTAAATTTAAGGTAGGGAATAGATCCAGGCTGAAGTTCTAGTCTGATCCTTGGTGCACTGACCTTCCCTTGAAGGAATTGTTTCCCGACTTATTTGAGCTGGCAACTGATAAAGAAGCCTTGGGCTGATCAGGAAAAAAAAAACTGATAAAGAAGCCTTGGTGGCAAATTGCTTTGGTGGTTCAGGATACTCTTTAGTCTGGGTTCCCTCTTTTAGAAGAGGATTTAATGAGTGGGAGATTCCACAGGTTATAGATTTGCTTTCAAGGCTGCAGGGTTTCAAGCTAAATCCTTTAGTTCCAGATCAGTGCTTTTGGGGTTGGTGCCTGATTCCCTTGGCTCTTTCCCCAGTCCTCTAGTGTGGGGTAGTGTGGCCCCCTCTAAAGTGAAGTTTTTGGTCTGGGTGGCTGCTGAAGAAAGGTGTTTGACAAAGATAATGGTGATTAGAAAAGGAGTAGTGTTACCAGATGTAACCTGTGTTCTATGTAGGAAGGGGGACGAAACTCCAAACCATCTGTTTCTTCACTGTGACTTTTCTTCAACAATCTGGGCCCACTTTCTCAAAGCTATTCAGCGCTCTACCTGCTTGCCTAATTCAGTAAAGGCCCTTTTAGAAGTTTGGAAAGTTGGGGGCATGAATAGAAAAGGCAGGATTCTGTGGAAAGTAATTCCGCTAGCAGTGCTGTGGTCAATTTGGAGGGAAAGAAACAGAAGGATTTTCAACCAGAAGCAGCTTCAGGTTGAAAGGGTGATAATTTAATTGCAGATGACCTCAGAGGGTGGCTGAGGTCCAATCTGCTTTTCAAGGGAGATGTTCTGGCTTCTTGTGTGGCTGTAAATTTTTTTGAGGTTTCTTAAAGCTGTTTTCAGTTGTACATTCTCTTGTACAGTGAGCAGTTTGTTTGCTTTCCTCTGATTAATAAAAGTTTACCTTACCTTTTCAAAAAAAATTATAAATTTCGTCTTAAATTCTTACTCAGACGTAAAAGAGTAAATAAGTAGACTTCTCATTTTCACAAAAATTCTGTTCTTCCACTGTGTCAAATGGTCAAATCGACTGGGAATACCAAAACAAAGACCAAAATACAAATAAGACCAACTAGGAGATGATCAAGATCAAAACCAACGTTTCGACTCATAATTTCTTTACTTAATCATTAAACCCAAGTTTCTTCAGGTATCCAAATGCCACAAGAGAGCCAATACCAATTGGTGAGGACCCAGTAATGTACATAGCAAAATGTGACTGTCAGTAACAAAAAAGCACTCAAAAATAAAGCATTTATATCACAGCTGACAAGAATCCCAACACTGACAAGCATATGCTTAGTGGAATTAAAAGAATAGGACTTAACAAGAGATGAAACATAGGTCAAAACAAAAGTAGAAAGTATCGGGAACATACAATAACAAATACATTAAAAGTAGTAAAGAACAAAATACATATACTCACATGCTATCAAGATCAATGAACTCTGCTTTCACAAGCACAGCTGTAAGTCGATAGAGTCCAAAAGGCACAGGATTATTTACTTCCATGCGCTGATAATATTGGAACTTAAAACCCAAGATTTGAGAAGCATGAGACTGTAAAGTAGGAAACATAACGAGTGAAAATGGCAATTTTTCATTCTGCAATCATTGTGCAACCAAAAAACACACCTATATAAGCAGTTTATGCAATATTATGGCCTACGGGATATCTTTCCATACCTTTGGGAAAAGAGGTATCAAGTCTAAAAAGACACCATTGTCAGGCTGAAGTTCAAAACATTCCAAAACCTAATAAATCACATAACAAAAAGAGCATCAGGTTCATGAGTACTGCAACAAAGATGGAGCCACATTTCATATAATGAATCATGAGTTTTAAGTTCATTTCTGGACATATAAAGGCTCTCTAGTAAGACCTAATACACATACAACAATGAGTAAAACAGGCAAAAAATATGGAACATAACAACCAACTTACAATATCAAAAACACGATTCGGATCCAGATCAAAGTGTCCAATTAGTGACTGCAGAAGTTAAAATATAGCGACAAAATTGATAAATAACGATTATAGCAGTTTAGAATAAGTATTTGCAAGACTATTATGTTTAAGGCAAAACCTTAATGATGCTGATCATTGCTGTTGATGCATTGTTAGTTGAAGCTTCAGGACCACTTCGGCAGAGAAGTGTAACCTACAAGAAAATGAATAACAAGAAGGCAAGCTTGTAACTTCCTGTTTCTTTTTTTTTTTTATAATTAACTGAATTGGCAGTCACTGCTAGAAGTAAAACCACAAAGTTAGGAAAGTGTTAGTGCAAACAATAGGAGTACTCCCCCCCCAGCCAAGGTACAAAGTCAACTGGCTCACTCATTCATAAATGTAAACAGACCGCATCATTGTAAATACTTTACAGGAGGTTAGACATTAAAGAGAAATGCAGCATCCAAGAAATACAGGTTTAGAAATTTTCATTATATAGAGTTTAGTGGATTCTTCCATGATAAATGTTATTCTGGGAGATAGAAAAAGAGATGAGAAAAAATATTAAATACATGTCAAATAAAAAAGGGGATAAGCACGATATATATATATATATTAAAAGCATTTGGGGGGGGGGGGGGGGGGGGACATGAACAACAAACATACTATAGATAGAAGTCAAAACAACAATCAATAGATGAACATATTCAGAAATACTACATCATCAAGGGAATGAATTATGAGACAATACTGAATACACCACCACAGAAAAATAGATTTTTTTTCCTTACTAGGAGAACAAAATGAATGATGTCTAAGAATATAAATTAGCAATGATAGATGTGTGCATTAGAAAATGGAAGAGAAATGGGGAAGGAAATAATGTCCAAGAATTAGGTAGGAAATCTAAAGAAAGTAGCAAAAGAGGTTCTAGGAGTAAAGAGAATTGGATAAGTGCTAAAGAAACTTGTGGTGGAATGAAGAGGTTCAAAATATGATCAGGTTAAAACGAGCATATTATAAAGATTGGCAAAAATCTAAAAATAGATAAAATTTGGAAGAATATAAAACCACAAGAGAGGAAATTAAAAAGAAAGTAAGATAAATTTAAGGCATATAATGAGCTTTATCATAAACTAGGCACTAATGAGGAAGAAAAAAGGAATTTATAAACTACCAACGATGAAAGAAAGAAAAGGCAAAAATTTAAACCATATTAGGTGTATTGAAGGGGAAGATCAAAGAATCTTGGTAAAATATGAGAAAATCAAGGAGTCTTAGTTAGGATTTGGGCCTGAGAAGAGACTTGAGAGAGCATGAGTTAGATCAGGTTGTCTTGCTTTAGAAACTCTTTGATTCTTTTATTTTGGATCCTTCTTTATCAGATAGTTGGGTTTGGACCCCTCACCCTAAGGGCTTTTTCTCTTATGCTTCTTTTTTTCCTCCCTGTGCTCAGCTTCTTCCTCTCCAAATTAAGATAAGGCTTGCCTTAGCTTGGGTACCTCCTGAAGAAGGATTTATAAAGCTCAACTTTGATGGTAGCAGCCTTGGTAATTCAGGGCCCATAGGAATAGTTGTTTGATGGTTCTACTTTCAACTGGTCAAAAAGGAGGGGAAGACTAATGTGGAGGTGTACAAGGGCAGCAGTAATCAGGACCTTTTGGGAGGAGAAAAATAAACATATATTCGAGGAAAAGAAAAAGAGCAAAGAAGCATTAATTGAAGGGATTATGGCAAAAGTGGCTTTCTGGACAAAGACACTGGAGTTGTTTTCAGCTTTCTCTATTGATGACATAATAAGGAACTGGAGAACAATTGTAGCCCCAACTTCAGCCAAGCGGAAGTCACTAAAGGGTTGGGATTCCTGAAATTAAACTTTGACGGAAGTAGTTTTGGGAATCCGGGTCCATCTGGAATTGGAGGGGTTTTAAGAAATGAAAGCGGAGTGATCATGGGCATGTACTCAGGCCCCATTGGATTGTGTGATTCTGTAACAGCAGAACTGAATGCAGTGATTTACGGGATGCAGAAAATTAAGGAGATGGGGGTAAGAAAGCTAATAGTTGAAGGTGACTCCAAAATAGTAATAAGTTGACTAAAACAGAATGAGAAGGCTCCTTGGTTTTTTAGAAACAAAATCAAACAATTCAAGAGGTTCTCAAAGGGATATGCAGCTGATAATTCAATGGACTCCTAGGTCGGCAAATGGTCTAGCTGACCAACTAGCAAAGCAAGGGGTAAACAGGGCAGTGTGTTTCTGGGCTCAGTTGTAAGACTGAATATTAAATTGTCTTTGAACTTTCTTGGTGGTAGCCGAGGCTGCCTTTGATTTGTACATTTCTCTTTATCTAAGTAATAAAATTTGATGTTGATGCTGATCAAAAAAAAAAATAGGTAGTATATTCAGAATTGCAAAAGGCCATATAATTGCTTTATTTTCAGGTCCTGTAGGAGTGGGAGACTCTTTCCAAGATGATATGCAAGTAGTTTTGCAGGGAGCACAGATTACTAGAGAGCTGAACATTGATGGGTTGCTACTTGAGGGGGACTCTAAGTTGATAGTTGGGGGGCTAAGGAATCCGGACACTGTAGTTTGGACTTGCAGAGAAACAATGAAAAGGTTTAAATGGTTGGCCATTAACATGATTGTAAGAATTCTTTGGGAAAGGAGATCGGTGAATGGGATAGCAAATTACTTAGCTAAGCAAGGGGTGCAAAGGGTGTAAAGATAGTGAAGGTTAAAGTTATAATTTTATTTCTCTTGTATATCTTGTACACACTCTTTCTGTTCTTACTGTGTACATTTACTCTTCATAAGGGTCGAATTGTCCTTTTTATCTCTTTCAATATAAATACTTTTTTCTTGGTGTGGCCAACCATTAGACACACCTCAAAACTGTTCATCCTTCTCTTGCTCAAACTACACTGATAGAGGGTTCACCTATTTCAGGCTCAATTGTATTTTTATTTGTAATTCAGGCTGCATCTTGCACCTCACTATGGGAAGCTCATTGTATAAGTTGTCATTTCTCAGTTTTTAATAAATCCAACCTTTACTGATCAAAAATAAAAGATGAAAAAAATATTTTGAAAAATTATTAAATGAACAACATCCAAAGGGTGCTAGTAGAGGAGAGATTAGTCATACTAATAATGTTGGAAATAACATGTAACTTTATAAAATTAGAATTGCTAAAGTGAAAGAGACATAAATAAGATGAAGGGAAAAGCATTAAGACCATATGGTATTCCAATAGAGGTATGGAAGAGGTAGGCTTATTGGCTTATTATGGCTAACTAAGCCATTTGCTAAGGTAACGAATGAAAAGAAGATGCCTGATGAATGGAGAAAGAGCAATATGGTGACTACTTTTAAGAACAAAAGTGATATACAAAGTTGTAATAATATCCGGGGATTAAACTCATGAGCCACACTATGAAACTTTGGGAGAGAACAATTGAACAAAGGCTACGGCATGAAACAAGTATATCAGAAAACCAATTTGGGTTCATGCCAGGGAGATCAACCATGCAAGATATCTTTCTTTTATAACAATTGATTGAAAAGTTTGGAGAAAAGTAGAGAGATCTCCATATGGTGTTCATTGATCTAGAGAAGCATATGATAGAATCCCTAGAGAGGTAATATCTAATATGAAGGCAGGTCATGGAAAAAAAAAGGAACCCCCAATAGGTATATAAATCTAAGGCCATGTTTTAGAGTGCTTATTTGGGTTGGACTACACCATTAAGCATTTATTGGTGTTTGGGAAAAACGCCCAAAATATGTGATTATTTTAAAAATAAGGGCTTATTTTTTAAGCCCAAGTTTCCAGCTTTTTTAAGTGCTTATACAATAAGAACTTACTCAATTTTTTCTTCCAAAATTATCCCTAGTTGAATTTTAAAATACCACTTATAAAACTATCCCTAATTGAATTTTACAGAACTACTTTTATAAAAGTGCTTTCGTAAAATTTGAAAGAAAATGAAGGGCAAAATGGTAACAAATGCTTATTTAAGTGCTTATTGGAGAAAAAAAGACTACTAAATGCCCAATATGAAATAAGTGCTTATTCAAATAAGCACTTATTTTTAACATAAGCACTCCCAAACATGGCCCAAGTAAGGACACACATGAGGGTGCAATAACCAATGTTATAACACTTGTAGGAGAGAACTTAGATTTTGCAATTACAATGGATTTTCACCAAGGTTAAACACTTAGCCCTTACTTATTTGCATTTATCATAGATGAATTGACTAAACATATTCAAGAGGAGGACCCATGGGGCATGTTGTTTGTTGATGACATTGTTTAATTGATGAAACTAATAAAGACTAAAGGAAAATTTAAGTTTATGGACCCATAGAAACAAGCAATTTCAAAATAAGTAGGACTAAAACAAAATATATAATATGTAATTTTAATAATAAGAAGAAGAAGAATAAGAATAAGAATGCAAATGAGGATACACTTAGGATTGGAGATCAAGAGATAATGAAATGTGACCTTTTCCAGTACCTTGGTTCAATAATTCATAACAAGGGAGAGATTGAGGAGAATATTGCCCAATAGAATTAGGTAGGGTGGGCAAACTGGAGAGTGCATCTAGAGTCTTATGTGATACACAAATACCATTTAGTGCATCTAGAGCCTTATGTGATACACAAATACCATTTAGATTGAAAGGAAAGATTTTACAAAACAGTTGTGAGGCCAGCTATATTGTATTGGGCAGAATGTTGAGCAGTCAAGAAATAACAAGTCCATAAAATAAGTGTGCAGAAATGCATATGCTGAGATGGATGAGAGGAAAAACTAGAAAGGATATGGTCAGAAATGAAATCATTAGAAAGAATCTAGGAGTAGCTCCAATAGGTACTGAAATGAGAAAAAGAAGACAAGACAGTTTGGTCACATGCATAGAAGACCACCAACAGCACCCATAAGCGAAGTGATCTGTTACAAGTTGAAGAGGTTACATGGGTGAGGGATAGACCAAAAAGGGCATGGTTCAAAGTAGTTAGAAATTATTTTAAGTACTCATAATCTAGCAATGGATATGGCATTAAACAGAATGGAATGACGAAACAAGATTCATGTTGCCAACCCCAAATAGTTGGGAAAAAGGCTTGGATGATGATGATGACACCACCACAGAAAACCTCCTACTTTAAAGAGCAACAAAGTTTAACTAGGAGAAAGACGATGAGAATCGCACTACTTGAAATAGTTTGAGCTTGGAAAAAGAAATTAAATTTCTTTCCTTTTTTTAGTCAACAGATGGAAATGTTTAAAAAGACCATGGTAAAGGACATGAATTCCAAGATTTGGTAAAGGGCAATAGGTCAGTGCAATTGTAAGTGACAAGTGTAAAAAAAACGTTTGAGAGCAGCCACTTATTGCAAGAAAGTCAAAGGTAAGGTCTGTACCCAGTCTACCCCCCAAGACCCCAGATAGTGGGAATCCAGATTGGGCAGTGGCCCTGCAAGTACCAAAACTTTTGTACATTAAGATTGTATAGTCTAGTTAAGACTTAAGACATTGAAAAGAGCAATCATCTTCCTGAAAACAGCTTAGAGTTTGGAATTATAAAATTGAATCCCTTTGGCATGCCTCTGAACCAATATTGCTAAATAACAAACCCATTAACCCATTACATAAATAAACACAAGCAATTCAAATTTGAAACATACCAGCTTAGCATAACCCTCACTTTCTTCCCTAAGAAGGTTGAATTTCGTTTGCTGATAAAGAAGGCGGGTGTTTACCCTGACCTGCAATTCACAAAATACTTTTAAAGATGCTACACTACAAAAATATATGGGGAATTCCCAAATATAGATATCCAGCATATCAAACATATGTCAAACACAAAAAATGTCTCTAACTGCAGATTGGATGGATGAATTAGTCTGCATTCATTTACTTTCAGAATGTAAAAAAAGGCATGTAGTATGCAGTTTCTATTGTATGTGTTGGAGGTTACAGGGGTATGTTTGTAATGTTAATAAATTTTGGGAACTTGTATGTGTTTATGGGAGGAAGAGGGGCCTGTATGAAATTCTGATATAAGTAGGAATTTTGCTTATTTAAGCCATTGGTTGCGTGCGATTAGGGTTGAGTGACAGTGGATATTTTGTTTTAAGTCTATAGAGAGTTCAGACATGTATCTCTTGTTCTTATAGTGGATATTTTTCCCTCTTTCCCCATGGATGTAAGCTACCAAGCCAAACCACATTAAACCTTGGTGTTTTCCCTATTTCTTCTTCTTATTTTCTTCGTGATTTACTATTCTCCTTCATGTTAATTGACATGGTATTAGAGCAGGTATAGTGTAGGAATTAGTTTGGTGAACCAAGACTAGCAATCGAGTTACTGTTCACAGTTGTTCACACAAGGTCTGTAGTGCTTTGAATCTGTGAAGCAATCTGTTAGAGACTTTTACCATTCAATGAAGAATATTTGCGAGTATCTTCCATCATTTTTCTAGAATTTTACTAAACCCCTCAAGGGGTGATATTGCTTCTTTCAGAAACCAGGAAAAAGTAAGATCAGATTTGGATTTTCTTTCGATTTTCTCACATGTGGTGGAATTTAGACATGAGCTTTTTAGAGTTCAGGTCATTTTTATAAGAGAAAGAAGATCAAAGGGTCATTTGGGCAAGAAAATCTGATCTGGAGGTATATTAGGGTGTCTTCCAGTCCTTATTTTTAATGCTATTAAAGCTTTTTTTATTCTCTTCTGGAGGTATATATATATATATAAGCATGGAAAGATTTATATTTTTCCTTCTTGTCTTGTGGGTTATGCTCCCTAGCATATGAACTAGTTCATATCTTCAAGCAGATTCTGGTTTCTATGTTGCATATCAACTGTTTGATTAATTATCTTAAAGGTTGGTTGTTGATTATTTGGTCAAGCTTGGCGTTCTTTTTTTTTTGTGAGTTCTTTCTTTTCAAAGAAATGTTATAGAAATTCTGCAACTTCTCTGGTCTATTTATGATTATCAATATCAACATGTGATATTGGATCTCAAGGGGTGACCTATTTGGTGTTCGAGAAAATGACTCAATGCTACAAAATTTCTACAATGGTTCCCCATTGTTATGATCGGTTCTAATCTGATCTTGTTTGTGGCTTAGCTTGATATTTAGACTATTTTGGTGAATGACGGATCTATTATCATTGGCCAATATCTGGTTTGTTTACCTCATACATGTTTTGCACGGAAGGTGTTTGATAAAATGTTTCAGCAATGATGTAAAAATATGATCTTTCAGTAAAATCTGCTAGGTTAAGAAATGATCATTTGAGAGGAACTGAGATGGGAGGGAAAATGGAGGGGATGGAGTTCGTGCAGGCAGGTCAGTGGAGGAGATACTTGAAGATAGAAGCAAAAAATCTCCTGTTCGAAGAGATGAGAATCAAGGGGAAGGTAAGCCTGAAGGTAAGGGAAGCGAAAAAGGGTACAATATTGCTGGAAGGATTAGAAGTGATCGAGTGGCTAAGAAAGTTCATAGCTGGAGCCTGTTCAAAAGGTAAGCAGATAAACTGGCAGGATTTTAGTACACTAGAAGGGAGATGATATGT